TAGCCCAAACCTAATCGATCAAAGTGCATTGTCTTATGTCTAATCACAGTGCATTGTGTTATGTCTAATGAATGAGCCAGAAACACATAACTAAGTGGGCTAATGTAAAGAAACACACACAGAGAAAAATAGTTCTTAAGAAATCATTTTTACCTGTTTGAAATATTTTCTAAGTAATAAAAAATTCAAAAATTACAAAGGTGTATACAGAAAAAGTGAAACCTACTTCCCCCAATCTTGTCTCACTTCCTAAAAGCAATCACTGTTTGCAGATGGGTGGATATATTTGCAGATTTTTTTCATGCTTATTCATATGTATACATACATATATGCGTATGGGACTTTTTAAAAACAGAAATGGAGTCATACTACACACACACACATAAATGCACATGTGTGTACAAATAGGTAGCTCTTATTCTTTTAAGAGATATGTTGGAGACCACTGTATTATAGGAACTTTTCCATTCCTTTCTTGATAGATTTGTAGCTTATTTCCATTTTTAAAAAATTAGAAACAATTCTGTGAAGCACATCCTTGTATATGTATTTTTATACACATCTTCTAATATTTTTGTAGTCTATATTACTAGTTGTGGGAATGTGGGTCATAGCACATGCATATTTAAAATTTTGTGGGAATTTTCCAAATTGCCTTTCAAAAATTCTGCACCAGTTGACACTTTCACCAATAGAATATGAGGGGCTTACTCCCCACATTTTTGGCAATACTTGATACTATCAGTTTTTTAATATTTTGCCAAAATGATCCTGTTTGGCTTTTGTGCTCTGAGCCCATAATCTTGATCATATTAGACAGTTAGTTTCCTCCTAGCCCAAGTACCTTAACTGGAGGGGTGAATGGTATAGTTCATATGCAATAGTAAGTATGTACCACACTGATGAGTACTGGTGGCAACCCTCATCCAGGGTGAGGCTAAGCCTGAGGATGAGTCTGTTCTGGCCTGGGATCCTCTTCTCTCAGGTTCTGGGAATTCACTGCTGAGAGTTCCACACTAATTGCAAATGGATGAACACTAACTGCCATTTTTACTTTTAGCTTCTGCACTTGCTCAAAGGGCAGTCAATTGATGTCAGTGGAACACTTTCTTTCCTGCATGCTCTGCAAAATGCTTGCTACCTGTCTGGCGAATGGGAAGCCTGAGTGGTGCTATCCCTGCATTTCTCTCTATAACCTGAGAGCTCTGGGGATCTAGTCCTCCACAGGCACTAGAAGCAGCCCTCTCTGAGGAAGTTACACATAGGCTGACACCTAAGCAGTGCTCAGACTTTAGCTTGTGCAGGACCCACCAGGGGAGCTTGTTAAAACACAGACTCCGGTTCCGAAGATCTGGGCTGGGGTGTTGCTGGTCCCAGGGCACACTTTGGAGTCAGAGCAGGGAGTTCACACAAGGGGAGCAGAAGTTCCTGACCCAGATGCATTAGAATTATGGGAAGCCCAGGTCCCTCCCCCCATTATTTAAATCCAGTCATCTAGGGCCATAGGTGGTTAAAATATGCCAGGGCTGAGAGCCAGGATGTGGCACATTAGTTCTCAAATTGTCCCCAGACAGCAGCATCAGCATCACCTGACGACTTGTTAAACATGCAAATTCTTAGGCCTCATCCTGCCCGCCAAATCAGAAGCTCTGGGGCAGAACCCAGCAGTCTGCACAAACTCTCCTGGGGATTCTGATCCTTATTAAAG